AAGAGAGAAAGAGAGAGAGAGAGACAGAGACAGAGACATGAATTGGTTGGGACAGAGAGACAGAGAGAGGGAGGGAACCACGGAAAAGTGTGACCGTTGAGTCACTATCCCATGGCGGCTTGATCAGAGGGTGCACACGAGTTGGTTGTGAGCTTTCATTTGCTTGGGCTGGTCGGATCCATATCCATGTCCAAGATGGCTGCTGCGGTATCTGTATCGCCCGCTGAGGGACGGGTACAATTGGGCAGTCATATCATCGTGGCGGCGTTGCATCAGCACAACATGCGCGTCGTTCGTGTGCGGGAAAACGAGTAAGAGGCTGGTCATCTCGGCTCATGTTTTATGGTTGTTCTTTCAGCGCTGTGCCCGACCCTCCCTCACTTCGGTGCCTGCCTCGTTGATTGTGTGAAAAGACACGTGCGTATGGGCAAGATTCGCTTCAACAGCAAGCATTTGATTGGCACTGCGTACGGTGAATTTTATCGTGTGGACAGGGACCGCCTGATTCCTTACGTCCCAGAGGAGGACAACGACGATGAAGACGCCGCTGTTGAGGGTGACAACCGCGGCATTATTGCCACAAAGGCCAATCAGGGCCTTGATGATCAAGCCATCCAGAATCTCAAGAGTGAGGGCGTCACGGGCGAGGTGAGGCTGTCAACAGACTTGAACCCCTGATTGTCTGGCCATTTGGATGTGCGCCGTCGAGCAGGTGGGCTGATGCCTCGTTGCACCCAACTGATGCATCGCGCATAGGCCTTGGTTCAGACGTTGGTGGAAAATAGCAAAACCTTCAAGCAGAAGCATGCCTTCACCCGTGAAAAGTATATCAAGCGCAAAAAGGAAATGTCAGTGCTTTCATCTCGCCCGATCTGTTGGACGGACCACCTCCTCTACCTTGCGCCCATTGTCTCTCGGCAGCCGATGGCGTAGCTCACTTGGCTTACCTTGCTTCGCCTGGCGCCTGGCCCGTCTAAACCCAATGTATAGCCACGTCAATGCCGTGCAAATCTTGCGCCCAACGATTCGCAACTTGCACGACGCCTTTTACCAGCACTTTCCCGATAAGATTGCGTACGTCAACGGCTTGACGGTTTGATGGCTTTTTTTTTCTCTCTCTGTTTCTTGTCTTCTCATCCCGTGTATCACGGATATGCTAATTCCAGTTCGATTCGCGTTGACACACTTGCATCGCTGTTGATGCGTGCCAACGTGCAACCACATTCCCGCGTTGTTGTGTTTGAGACCTGCTCGGGCCTCATGACGGCGGCTGTTGCGAGACAGCTGGGAGGTGCGACGTTCTAGCTCTCCTCGGCTTTCCAAAAGTTCTTTGCGAACCATTTTATCCTACACACCCGTGTATTCACCACACTTTTGTACCTGCTACCAACTTGCACCATCTTGCTCAGCGACCGGCACGGTGATCCAAGTACACTGCGGCAGCGCACCTCAGCATACCTTGGTGACTTATTCTGACCTGTCAGCTGAGAGCAAGGCCACCATTGTGCCCTTTAGCATCAGCGAGCTGAGCACCGTCCTCGCCCAGCGCCAAGCTCTGGTCGACCGGACCGAGGTCTGTGGCGGGCCTCAATTCCTCGACGAGTCGCCGTAGCCGCCTTGAGTTTCACTCGTATCTTTGTTTTTCTGACCATGCCATAGGCCATTCCCGATAGTGATGTGCCCAACATGTTTGAGGGCCACCAGCGAGACCGTGCGCGAGCCCACGTGCTTTTGGGCCAATGTGACAGGTAGGGTGGCCTGTCGCCGGCTGTTACGGCAAGTTGCTCTGTGCCTTGATTCACGCCCTTCTCTGGCTCGTCTCTGTGCGACACAGCTTGATCGTGGCAGCGCGGTATCGGCCTACAAACATTGTGCAGTCCCTGCTGAAACTGCTGGCACCCTCACAGCCTTTTGTTGTTTACCACGAATATCGCGAGGTTGGTTGTGGCGTCGCAACGCAGATGTTCGGCGCTCGCAGTTCCTCATGCGTGGTCCCTCTTGCCTACCTGATTTGCTGCTTTGTGCAGCTCTTGGTCGAGTTGATGGACGAAATCAAGGGAGCAAGCGTCAACGTCAATTTGGCTGAAAATTTTTTGCGCTACTACCAGGTCCGCCCTGCCGTCTGCCTTCCGCCCGTCGACCCACCACAACGATTGCCTCTGTCAACTTACTCATGCTTGATAAAATTTGCCTGATCTCGCAGGTGCTGGAAAAGCGCACACACCCACTCATGACAACCGAGCCACGACCTGGCTCCTTGCTCTAGTGAGTTTTGCCGTTCAATGGGGATGGCGATCTGCGGGCCCATCATCACTCACGTGCGCTGCCCGGGTCTTTAGTGGTACCACAACGCACCGGACAGCAACCAGCTGCACGCGCACCCTGTATGAGCGTGCAGTCGCTCTGCATGGTCCCACAAGTACTCAGGACTCCGCTGCCAAGGCAGAATCTGGCGCACCAGAAGCCAAGCGCCCCTGCCCAGCCTAAACAAACGACTGCCTCTCCCTTTGCTATCTCCAGCTTCGTTTGGATCGCGCAGTGCTGAATATGCGCACCCCCCGTCGCAATTGTGAGACACACGACCAAATCAAACCGTTTGTCAATTGTTGATTTGTCAGGCCAGCCTTGCATGGTTTGCTACCCGTAGCAATGTCTCTCCAACGTAGCAATGTCTCTCCAATTTGTTTACATGTTCACATCAGCACAAGCGCGACTGCAGTTCAAACAATCGCAGCGAGCTCGTCACAAGGTGCAGGAGTTATTTGGGTGTTAAATGAGATATGATGTTGGGCCGAGAAGATCCGGCACCGGGGTTGGCTGATGGGGCTGCGGGCGGGCCCTGCGGGGGTGTTGGTATGGGTGCAGTACCGACGCGTGGGATTCCACTGGGCCAGCGGCTCGCCGCATTGGTGGTACAACGGGGTCGGCCTTTATCCGAGGTATCTAGCCAGACGTTGGCAGCCTTGAGGCCCCAGTTGTGTATTTCACGAGCAGTGGTCATGTCCGCGGGGTTGTAGCATAAGGACCAGAGCTCGCGCTTGGTGTAGGGAAAATCGGGCGTCAGCTCGGGTGAAATGTCCAGCTTGACGCCCTGGGAGCGGGGAAACGGTGCTTGGAAGGGGCACACCTTGACCGCACCGGCAATTCGCGGCACCAGCTGCCAAGTGCCCCCGTCAATGACGTACCTATGATGCAAATCAGGGTGGGCATGACGGCAAAAAGGCAGGTGAGTCACGGGCGCGACGCTGTCTTTGTGCATGTTGTTTTCAAGCCACCGACGCCATCGATGGCACCGTACCAGTCGCGGAAGCGGGAGATGAGGGCGGCGTCCAGATAGCCCGGTACCATGCAGGAGGAGAGAAGGGCGTTGATGAGGTCTTGCCGCTCTGGAAAATGGGACACAAATACTGGGCGTAGACGAGGGCGTGGCCACAGCCGAGTCATGGCCACTGAGAGGCGGCCCGAGCACTTGATGTGCGCATTGTGAGGCAAGGTTTCGTCCATCATGTGCTCTAGCAGGCGACGAAGCTTCCACCATGTGCCTTCCTGGCGGCAAATTTCCGACTGATAGAGGTGTGCCTCAAGCACGGTTTCCGGGTCAATGGCACATGCCAGGTAGGCGCCAATGAGCGACCCGCCGGATGCACCTGCAAAGCGGGTAAACTGGCGGATGCGGCCAGCCGCTACGAGGCCGTGTGCTACTCCAATGTGGTATGGCAGCATCCTATCATTCAAGCATGGAGGCAAGTGTGAAGTCAGAGGTGGGCAACAGGTGTGATGCGGGGTAGCAGTGGATGCGGAGAGGCAGGAGGCACGGTTCGGACAAAGGCAGAAGTTGAGGAGTGCCACGCCAGCCAGCCGGAGCACCACCATTGAAAGAACGTACCACCCACAACCAGAGAAGGCAATGACATCGCGTTCGGGCTGCTCTCGACGGGCTGCAAATGGCTGATGAGCCCCCGTGCTATGCATCCGAGTGGGGTGCTGTGCTCCACAGAGGAGTACAGGGCCAGAGGGCTGCTGCCGGCCCCAGCCTCGCGGCCAAACGCCAGCTGCCGCAGTTGCGTAACGCGATGCACGCAGGCACGGCATGCTCGTGGTGGTAGGTCCTGATCAAACCAGTGTGTGCACACCGGCTGCCAGTGATTAACTAGCACGGATTTAGTTGAAACATTCGTTCGGGGCGACCAAGTTCACAGGGATCCTGGCCAAGCCCATGGCGTGATCGTGCGAACGTCGTCGGCGGGGGACGTGTGCCGTTCGCCTGAACTGAAAGTGTCGAATCACCAAGTCACACCACGGGCCGTTGTCGCGATCCCACTGGCCAATATTTTCAAGACAACACCAACTCCAGGGTCTGAGTTGGACTCAATCTGCAATGATGCTCTATCGCCACTTGTCGCCCTGCCAAATCCGCGGCCGTCCATTCCAAATAAAAAAAAAAAAATGAAAAAAAAGAAAAAAAAAAAAAAAATAAAAAGTGATGGAGCCGTTCATTGCGTCAGCCGTCATCGTCGCTCTGTCTGTGTCTGTGTCTGTGTCTGTGTCTGTGTTTGTCTCCTCTCGCTTATACCAATTTGTCAGAAATTCTTCTTATTATTTGCTGACAAGTTCTGAGGGGGTGTCGGGATGGCGACTGGCGGTGGTGAGGGGGCGGCGACGGCGGCGGGTAAGTATCCAGGATTTGTAAAGTCCAAGGTGGGGTCGGCTCAGCAGTTGGTGACGGTGCCAAGAGTAGCGGCGCGCGATAGCAGTGTGGCTGCAGGTAGCCAACGAGATGTGGCGCTGCGGCACGAATACTTGGCCATCGTGGACGACGACCTGCCAGTGCCAACCTGTCCAGATGCTCCGCCTAAAGTAGATAGAGGGCTGGCCTCGCGGCGCCTGGTACGGCGCGCGAATCCACGGGCAAAGACGGCGAGCTTGAGCCGAAGCAAGCTCCGTCAGGGCCTCCTACGTGCGGCACAGGACAACGACGCGGCCTTTGTGCGGCGCCATGCAGAGGCCCTCGCTCAGTCGGGTCTGGCGTGTTGCCTGGACGATTATGCCTGGACGCCGCTCATGATTGCAAGTGCCGCCAACGCCTTGGATGTCGTGCATGCACTTGAAGAGGTCTTTGGATATGATCAACTCGACTATGAGCACGCTGACCGCGGTGGCAACACCGCCCTTTCCATCGCTCGCCAACACGGACACGAGCAGTTGGTCGACTTTCTCGTCGCAGTCGCTGCTCGGACACCAGCTGAGCCGAGACCCACCTCGGCTACGGAACAAGCCGGATCTGCAGGCGATAAGACATCGACGCACCCCATACCTGCCTCAAGCAAAGCACTCGCGCCTCAGCCTTGGTTCTGTGCGCCGTGTGGCCTGGAGGTGCGGGAGGCCGAGGCCTCCCATTGTGCAAGCATTGCACACAATATCAACTGCGCCCGCCCCGTGGCCCGTCACCCGTTTGTCCTGGGTGTGGCGAACAAAGGATATCAACTCATGAAAGCAGCAGGCTGGAACGAGCAATCGGGGCTGGGACCCGCACAAGCAGGTCGCATTGCGCCCGTCAAGACCGTGTTGAAGCGCGATCGTGCAGGGCTGGCCTCTGCACAGGATCAGTCCAGCGAAGTGCCTGCGCAAAAGGCCAAGGTGACACACTTCAAGGCCAATGATCTCCAAGCCGTCCGCGATGCACCGCGTCCAGCGCGGCGCCTTGATCAACCCCTTCCCCGTAAAGTCCAGGCCCGCCTTGTCGCAGCCGAGCAGCAGCGTGATCGGGATTGGCGCCACATGGCTGCAGCCTCGGATCAGCCTCGGCTTGAGCCCACATAGCCTGGGTTGGATTGTACTGCATGGTATGCGAGGCCTTCCTTGTGAGGTGATCAACTTGTCGTTTGTTGGATGGGACCGATGTAAGTTTCTCACATGTCAATCGATTGATGAATGCAAGGTTTTCAGCTGCCCGCTACTCCTGCTCGAAAAGTGCCGCAACTAGTTGGCAGCGGTGGGCTTGAGCATCTGAACGAGATGGTGAACGAGCTCTGACTCTTGTTGCATCTCTTCGAGGATTTTCTCAAGAGCGGCTCCGTCATGCGCATCCTGCAGCCAGCCATGGCAGAACGGGTCAGGGACGCAAGCAAGACAAGTAGCAGGCAGGGCGAGCGGTATTGAGTCATGCCAGAGTGCAGCCAGCATGCCAAACCTCGGCATCCAGGATGGCCTCAAAGCGTTGCTGGCAGGCATCCAAGACGTTCATGTACTTGTCAAGGTGAAACTCGAGCTGGTCGCCCACTCGCGTAACAAAGCCCGTTTCGAGATACAGCTGTTGATGTCATCCACGGTGCATGAGGACAATGATGTCCACTGTTGATTTGGCCCCAAAGGCTAAGAAAAACGCTTCTGCGTAACAATATCATACCTTGTAGGTGCTGATGGCGCTGATGGTGTACGGCCGGGTGGCCGAGCTGTCAAAATTGGCAAAGCGTCGCAAGTCTTGCAAGGCAAACGACGCCAAATGCTTGGCCATATCTAGAGGTCCCCAATGGCCCACCGTTCGCCTTCTGAGTGTCGCCGGGGTTTCAGCAACCAAGCGATGCGGTCGTGACCTTGCAAACTCACCTTCACCTGCAACTCGGCCACGCTCGACGAGCAACTTCATGGTGGTGAGTGAAGTGAGCTCAGCGCGGGGCTCCTCTAGTAGCGTGCAGGTGTCTGGCTTGATGCTGCCTTTGACGTGGTCCAAATTGTAAATGGCATGTCCGACCTATGGGTTGCGGTCGGAGGCCACACAACCAGCGATGGCGACAATTCAAGTTCGTAGACACGATAAGACACTACCAGGCCACTTAGGCTGGTGGGAACACAGGCCAGAGGCGGGAATGTACATGACGGGTCCTGGTCATCTATGTACCACCTTGTCCCCATTCCACCACCGTTTCAAAAGGAGCGCGTTCTGGCTCGTCATACCTCGTGCGCCGCTACATGGTAGACAATAGTGTCGACGGCATCGAGCAATGCTGCAAGCTCTTTGCCGTTTACACAGACCTAACCCCACCCAGAGTTGAGTGGTGCGGTGGCATTGCCATGCCAAGCGAAGCGGGATGCATGGCGCGATATCGGACCACACCTTTTCAACCATGTCGCCGGTTGTCTGCAGACGTGCACCCGTCGAGACGGCGTCGAAATAGATTTTCACTCCCTTTTCGTTTTTCACTGCGGAGCGATTGGGAATGCTTTGACCAGAGAAACGGAAATGGAGTGACATGCCAGACTACATGTGCATGGCCCGGTCCATGGCCAAACGTGAGTGGGCCTTTGGGTGCACAGCAAGCACTAGGCAGTCATCAAATTGCACCAGGTCGGGCGAGAAGCTGCGTTGCCTCAATGTAGCCACCTTACTTGAAAGGGCAGGTAGTAGATGCCGGCTAGGCTGGCGCTCAAGGCAAAAAGGCCCTTTTGGCTGAGATCGGTTTTGCGCTGACGAAAGTACTCGACAATGTCAGCCTGGATGGCAGCGATCGTATCATTGGCATCCTTGTAATCCATGTCCAGGAACCTGTTTCGACAAATGAACAATGCTGCTAAGTTCACACAGAACACATAGTGGTGTAACCCCAGCTGCCAGCACAAGCCCTGTGCGCACCGAATGCTAAAGTCAGGAATCACTTTCACCCGAAGAGGGTCTCCGTAGCCTGGGGCACGATGCGACCAAAAAGCACGGTCAGAGCGAGCGTTTGGGGAGACTTTTAGCACACGGCAGGGCGCTTTCGAGCATCGGCAAGGGCAGCCAGTGCTCGGCTCTACGCGTGAGCACAGGGGTATGCAAGAAACACACCAGACTCGATATCATGCACCAGCTGCAAGAGGACAGGCCATGGACACGTGAGCTTTGCAAAAGGGTTTCCACACAGTTTTGCTCGCCGACCAGGTGCCCTTACCTGAATGTGGTATTTGCAATCCATCCAGCGACGGTCAAGCTCCTCCCAAGCCGAATCCAGTTGCTCACTATAGCACCCACAAAGCAATGGCGGGAAGGATTGAATCCAGACGATCATGAGGTGCCGGCTCCCACCGGAGCATCGTCTGAGGATGCGTGCCCATGCAGGTGACGATTTCAAATCTTACATGTCCTCGAGGGCCAAGCAGACACGATACTGGCGGAGAAAGGGCAGATAATTTTTTTGCTCCGCAGTCAGATCCTGCATGACCTAGACCGATGGAATAAAATGGTGAGGTCGGACATTGCTTCCTCACCATTTTCACGCTCATGGGCCCCAACGCTGTCGAACCTCCAGCTGAGCAACGAGGTCATCAAAAGCCTGTAGCACGGGCACCAGTTCAGTTTTGAAGACGGTGGCGTACGCAGCATGTGTATAGCTCGAGGTGGCAGCGTCCCATGTAATGATCGTGTAGGGGTTGAGCAAGGCGGCATCTGTGCATTTTCAAATTGTGGCACGGTGGTCCCGGGGAGAGGTGAATTTTTGGCTTGCAAATGAGGAAGCTTGGTGTAAGGCAGTGGCCTAACACCGCGCGCCATGCTAAGCGGGACCTGCGAAAAAAAGCACACCCCACCTCCTGGGCTTCCATCAGCCTCTAGCTTTTTGGCAGTCTCGTTGCCCTGCACTTTCTTCGACCAGGCCCGGTAGTACCTGGAAGCAGGTGCATCAACCAAGGGTAACGCAACAGCAAGAAGAGAGCTTCATGGCACATGATGGGTCGCAAAGGACAACGTACGCATCATAGTAATGTGAGATGACGGCCGAGTACTTGAGGAGCACGGCATCAAATTCTAAGGGATAGGAGGCGGTGCTTGAGCCAGTGAGGTGCTGACCAGGAAGCTGGTAGGCTGGTGGACAGCAGAGGGAAATTCTGCTGTGTGATTGTGCGAATCAGACCTGGGAAACCATGCGGCAGCTCGTCGAGAGCAGAGCAAATGTGAGCTCGTGCCACATCGTTGCTGGCCGAGGCCAAGTCCAAGAGGTCGTAAAACTCGTCGGAGAAATCGCGAACGCCGACAAATTGACTAGGAGCCGATGCAAAGAGAGTCCCAAGGGCGAGAAGTCAGCACCGCACACATCAAAGGTCGTGTTTGGGGTGCAGGCAAAAGGGTCACGTTGGGCACGGGCCCTTGTCGATGGCCAGCTTCGAGGGAGGCGTTGTGCTTGGGATGCAGAGCGTGTGCATGTGTGCAGGTGCGCAAGTGTGTGCGTGCCGCCAGCGCTGGGTTGACCCGTTCAAATGCATTTAGCGAGAGGTGATCAGTGACATACCTGGCAATGGCAGCACGAATGTACTTGTCTTGGTTGGCGCTGGGGTACGTCTTTTCAATGTGCTTTCGAATGAGTTGATGGCTGGCCTCTTCAATCTTCTTGAGCAGCGAGATGCCTGCATGACCAGCCAGCTCGCCCTTGATGGCGGCAAAACTGGTCGGTGGCAAATGTTCAGTTCAACACGCGAGGGGACGGGCTCAACAATCACTCAAGCCAATGCATGGATCTGCCAGTACATACTTGGCCAGAGCCGCTTCAAAAACCATGGTGACTCGTGATCACGGCAGGCAGCAGTGGTGGCAACTCGCCGCCGCCTCCTCCTCAAAACTGAAATTAATTTTTTTTTTCACATGCCAGTAAAATTCGGATTTTGTGAATTTTATTTTATTTTATCATCTGATTTAATTTTTAAAGTGGCAGCGGCTTCGGGATTTAGAAGACTGGTCTCGATTGGATTTTGTTTGAGCGGGGTGGGCGGGGGCACGCGCGTGGTTGGTGTGAATAGGCAGCGTGCATGGATATGTGTGCTTGTCATCGCTTGAGTCAGGCTGGTTGTTGATCGCCTTACATCGAGAAGAAGCAGACGGGGGACTGCAAGAGGAAGGCACATCATGTATCGTGACGCGGCCTGGCGCGTGGGGGCCAGCTGGTTGACCCTCGTGTGTGCGGTGGTGATGATTCATTGTCACGAGATCGAGGCCAACGCCGAGTCACCTGTTGAATGCGGGGAACTGTTTCCTGCCATGCTGTGTTGTCTGGACCCACTTTGGGACCCGGCAACGCACCAACCACGAAATTGCGGGCATGATGGTCAAGCTGCTCGACTGTGCTTCGCCCGACCGCAGGTGGCATGTAACAAGAGCACCGGCCCGATTGTGACTGCAGACGAGGCAGCTGCTTTCGCAAGTCCCCTGACCTGTGATGGACAGACTTACACGCTGGCGGACGTGGCGCGCATTGAGGTGACTTGGCACCCTGCTCTTGCGCTTGTGTGAGCTGGAGTTGGGGTAGAGTCTCTCCCACCTCCTGAATTGTTTTTGCCGTCTCAAACCTGCACACGTCTTGCAATGGATCCATTAGACATTTGCGTGCAGTTTTGTCGATGCAGAGGGCGAGTACGAGTTTGAAACAGCCTTGGGCTTGAGCGTGTTCTTTGGCATGCTGGGCTTGGATCGATTTTATCTGGGCTATCCTGCACTCGGCCTTCTCAAGCTCATGACGCTGGGCTTTCTCTTCTTTGGCCAGGTCTGCACATGCTCATGCTCACTCTCTCAATGCCGCCAACCATCTATCATTTCGGTAAATGTGCTCACCCCTTCCTGTTGGGCGACGGACCGCGCCAGTTGGTGGACGTGGTGCTGATTGCGACGCAGACTGTGGGGCCTGCCGACGGCACGCCGTATAAGATGCGCTTTACTGGCCCACGCATCACCAAGCTCTGGGCTAACAACGACACGTACTTTTTATGATACGACTATCCATCCCTCCTCTTGGGGATTGTTTCCACGGGATCAGTGATCCATTCCTGCCTCATTCAGGCTGAAGATAATTGACGACTTCGCTCTACCATTCGGTGTGCACATTTCCCCATCCTCGCCTGCGCATGTTGCCTATCTCAAGCCTTGTTTAATTTTTAAAATTTTAAAAGGTTGTCCCATTTCATTCGGAGTCAATCGGAGGGCTGGAATCAATTCGACAACCGCACGCGTCTACGACACCAAAACAAGAAAAGTGGGGTTGAAAACACATCAACCACTGGGGTCGGGGGGCCAATGGGTTCGAATGGCAAAGCCATCATCGAAACCAGGCCACATCACGAGCCAGTTAACAGTTTTGGTTAGGCAAAAAACACAAGATGTTAAAGATACAAAAACATGAAACGTCGGCAAGAATCCGACAAGTCGACTGGAATTAAGAGTAAGGAGTTTACTCCATCTCCTCCTCTTCCTCGTCAAACTCGCCCTCCTCCTCGGCGGTGGCATCCTGGTACTGCTGGTACTCGGAGACGAGATCGTTCATGTTGGACTCGGCCTCAGTGAACTCCATCTCATCCATACCCTCACCAGTGTACCAGTGAAGGAAGGCCTTGCGACGGAACATGGCAGTGAACTGCTCCGAGACGCGCTTGAAGAGCTCCTGGATGGCGGTCGAGTTACCAATGAAGGTGGAGGACATCTTGAGGCCGCGGGGAGGGATGTCGCAGACGGCGGTCTTGATGTTGTTGGGGATCCATTCGACGAAGTAGCTCGAGTTCTTGTTCTGAACGTTGAGCATCTGCTCGTCAACCTCCTTCATGGACATGCGGCCACGGAAGATGGCGGCAACGGTGAGGTAGCGGCCGTGACGGGGGTCGCAGGCAGCCATCATGTTCTTGGCATCGAACATCTGCTGGGTCAGCTCGGGGACCGACAGGTTGCGGTACTGCTGGGAGCCACGGCTGGTCAGGGGGGCAAAGCCGGGCATGAAGAAGTGGAGACGGGGGAAGGGCACCATGTTGACGGCGAGCTTGCGGAGATCAGAGTTGAGCTGGCCGGGGAAGCGGAGGCAGGTGGTGACACCCGACATGCAGGCGGAGACGAGGTGGTTCAAGTCACCGTAGGTGGGGGTGGTGAGCTTGAGGGTACGGAAGCAGATATCGTACAGGGCCTCGTTGTCAATGCAGTAGGTCTCATCGGTGTTCTCGACAAGCTGGTGCACCGAGAGGGTGGCGTTGTAGGGCTCGACAACGGTGTCCGAGACCTTGGGGGAGGGCACCACGGAGAAGGTGTTCATGATGCGGTCGGGGTACTCCTCACGGATCTTGGAGATGAGGAGAGTACCCATGCCGGAGCCGGTACCACCGCCGAGCGAGTGGGTGAGCTGGAAGCCCTGGAGGCAGTCGCAGCCCTCAGCCTCCTTGCGGACGACATCGAGGACAGAGTCGACGAGCTCAGCACCCTCGGTGTAGTGACCCTTGGCCCAGTTGTTACCGGCGCCAGACTGGCCAAAGACAAAGTTGTCGGGGCGGAAGATCTGGCCGAAGGGGCCAGCGCGGACTGAGTCCATGGTTCCGGGCTCAAGGTCGACGAGGACGGCGCGGGGCACATACTTGCCACCGGTGGCCTCGTTGTAGTAGACGTTGATGCGCTCCAGCTGGAGATCGCTGTCACCGTGGTAGGTGCCGGTGGGGTCAATGCCGTGCTCATCGGAGATGACCTCCCAGAACTTGGCACCAATCTGGTTGCCGCACTGGCCAGCCTGGATGTGAACGATTTCACGCATGATGGCGGTTGGAAAAAAAGGGGGGGGAAAGGGGTGGCAAAAGGCAGCCGAGCTTTCGAGATCCAACGGACGACGAAGAAAAATGCACGAGAGTCAGCTGGCAGCACCAGAGCGAAGCAAGTGAGAGGGGGCTCAGTGTGTCGTTAGGGGTGTCGTGCAGGTGTGGTAGATGTAAGGCAAAAGAGGTGTTAAGATGGCATTCGGGTGTGAGCCCTTGACGGGTCGGAGAGGGGGATTTTTGTTTGGTGGGCAAAAGGTTTTGGGGCGTAGGGGGTTCAACGGTTGCCACATGCAGGTGGCTTGGGGGAGACTTTGGGGGAAGTTGCCTGGGATTGCTGCTTTTGTGTGCATGTGTGTGTGGTGGTTTCATGCGGATCAAGGGGGGGAGGTTGCTGAGAGGTGTGGTGCGTCGTTGCCTGGAGGTTTTGGTTTTTGAATATTATTTAGATTAAAAACGGGTTTATAGTCATTCATATTTTCTGTATTAAACAGGTGCTGAAAATTCTTTTAGAATGGTTGCGTGAGCGCAAATTATCCTAGTTGAAGAACACAGCTAAGAACAGGCGTTGTCGACACTTCACAACGGTCCGTCCTTTTTTCACACAACTGGTCCCCCAACCCGCCGAGATGAGGCAGACTGGTGGTCTGGCTCCTACGGGGCGAGACATGATGACCCTGCAATTGTTCTCGTCTGGGCGTTGCCATGGCAAGCTTTGGCTGTGTCTGATGCTTGGGGTTGGGTGGGGTAGGCGAAGCCTTGCGGGGGTCCTTGCGGCTAGGAGGAGGGCCCAGTTCCTTTCGACCTTTTCAGCCTTCAGAGTCACACAATCACAAGGGCTGGGCGCACCACTGCATGCAGGCGTCTGGTCCCAACTTGAGCGTGGCCAACAGGTCGGCAACCTGCAAGGACGGGCATGCACAGAGGCGTCATCTCAATGCACCCAATAGGAAATGCATCAGCGACAACACAGCACAAGCTTCAGGCGAGTGAGTGACACCAAGAAAAGCCAAGGGCAGGTCATGGACTACGAACGTGTTGGCGCTGGGAATCGCTGCAGTATACACGGACGGAGCCGCTCGTAGTCTCTTGTGTAACGAAGCAGTCGGCTGGGAGGGGCAACAGGTTGACAGACGCCCAGAGCTTAGCCCGGCCAGGCTTACCCGAGCGCACCACCTCCCAACAACCTCGGCGAAATTGTGCATGCCATTGGTGCTGAGCCTTGGCCAACGCGATGGGCTGCGATGCATCTTGCGTGGCTTCTCCAATCTCATGTTTAATGGGCGGCACCACTGCAGCCTCGCCCGACAAAGGCTGATGCTCGGGGTGTGGAGGGTGTGTCTCGATGGCATCAAGCGGTCGTGTCACGTTTTGCGAGGCCTTGGGCCGCATTAAGTGGGCGATTCGCGTCAAGGCGCGGTGCCGCACCAAGGGGGGCTTGGCATCACTTGGCTGAAGAGCCGGGCGTGGATTCGGCATGGCTGTGGCCAAAGTAGCTTGTGAGGGGGCTGGGTCCCGAGTTTGCGTGGTGGTTGGCTGATTGAGCAGTGGGGAGGCCGAGGCCTGGGTCAGGGTCTGAGTCAGCACGGGGCGTGAGTCGGCCCGATCCTTATGGCGTGCGGATGGCATGCGAGTGGTTGAGGCCGGGGTTTCAGATAGGGTTGCACCTAGGGTGCCGCTGCTGCTTATGGTCAGAGTCGTGGCTGGTGCAGGGAGGGACCACGGTTGCAGTTCGGGCTGCCCATGGAACGTCAGGCCGCCAAAGGGAAGCGGCAAGCACTGACTCCAATCCGGTCGGGCCTCGGCACTCACGTCCTGAACCGTTGGTGGAGGCTTGGCCCGAAAGCGGAGCCAGCCTAGACGAGACGGATCCGATGGTGAAGGTCGGCCATGTGCGGGTATGATGCGCTGCCAGTCAGCAGCAGAACCTTGGGCATAAAGTCCCTTCAAGTGTGAGCGCGCTGCCTCGGTCGTGAGCGGATCAGGTGCATGCAGAGTCACAAAGTGCTCTGTTGGTGTCACAGACGCCATCAGATTCGTGACCGGACCTGGGTACTGGGGCAGATGCAAGGCACGGCTGATCCGAGGGGGAAAGGTTTGACGCCAGGTCGGGGAGAATCGTCGGCAGCGCGCCAAGGCACCAGTCACTCGGCGATTCGCGCTTAGCCGCTGCAAACGCTCATGCTCGTCGTTCGCTTGGCAGGAGAGGAGCGGGAGGTTGAGTGTCCGCTCTGGTCGGTGCGGTGTTTTTTTTTTTGTAACCGAACTTTTGTCAGACGGATAATTGTCAGACGGATAATTGTCAGCAAGATCATGGATGACAAATTGTCATTCGATTCGTCAACTACACCTTCTGGCAGCATCTCGCAGTCTCTAGAGATCTTGTATCAACAGGTTCTGGCAACACCTCGTCCCCACGATCATCAAGCAAAGACGATCAAGGTGATGAAAGCCTGCACTTTTGGTAAGAGCCAGAAGAAGCCCCGTCGACGTGGTGGTGACAAGGAACTGATGCAAACGCTTTCAGTGATGACGGGAGGGCATGCTCGGGGCCTCGGAAAGAGGTGGGCTGGGCCCGGGGCTGAGAAGCATTTTCTTGATATCCAGCCGGTGAAGCATCATCTCCGACCTTTTCTCCCAAGCCAGCTCCAGCTCACCTTCAGCGCCATCTATCCCCACGACAGTACTTGTGTGTGCGCGCGCACCACCGAGAGCCCGTTGTCGCTGAACCTCCGGCCCATTTCGGCGGTGCTTGTGAGAGATCAGCAGCATGTTTGGTTTCCCACGTTTTACCCAGCCCGACTACGGCTACTACACCCCCCGTGCCCCGCGCCAAGTCTACCGCGACCCTTATCAGCGGGCCGCTTATCGCCATCCGTACGAGTACTTTGACGACGAAGACCAGTACGTGGCTGACCCCTGGGCCGTTCAACGCCAAAAGCAACAGCTTCGACGCCAGCAAGAGCTAGCCGCCCAACAAGAGCGTGAACGGCAGCTGCGTTTGAAACGACAGCAACAACAGCAGCGCCAGCAACAGGTCAAGGCTCGCCATGCCCAACTACGTGCCTACAATGAAGCAGCCACCATCATCCAGCGCGCCTGGCGTCGACACAGCGCCCAAGTCCAGGCTGAACGCGAAGCGCACGCCGCAGCCGTCGTTACCCGCTGCGTCCGACGAGTAGCCGCCGCCCTGCGCGCACGGCGTGTCCTCGACTCGCTGCGCCGTCTGGCTGAGGCACGCAAGCAACTCGATGAGCTTGCCAGCGACTTTACCTCCACCATGCGAGGCTATCGTGCTCTTTTGATGTTTACAGATCAAGTGGAGAAGCTCATCCTTCGCCTGGATGCCATCCCCCATCACCGCAACGACTACGTACGAGCGCGTCGCAAGGCCATCGTTCGTGATGCGCAACAAGTTTTGCGCCTGGCCGACGTGGTGTTGCACACGTTCAACCGACAGGCTACCGTGGCCCAGCGCGCCTTCCGAGCTTGGCGCATGCGCCACCAGGCCACGGCCCGCGACCAGGCTGCCCGCGTGGTGACGCGCTGCGTTCGCAATGCCCCGGCCATTCGCGAGGCCAAGGCTGTGCGCCGAGATCTGGCCCAGATGCAGGAGCAGCTCGCTGCACTCCGGAGCCTTGAGGCCGACTATCAGCGCTCCTTGCAAGAGATGGCCAAACTGACGCAGCGCCTCAGCAATCAGCACCGCTCTGAGCTTGCTGCCGCCGTCGCACAGCATGCCGCTACCACTCGAGCTCAGCGCACGAGCGCGCTGGCGCAGGCTTCTTGGCCGCAATGGGCCGATCCCAATGCACCTACCATTCTTACCAGCTGCCCCCGTGATGAGGATGCTGCCCAAGATGAGCCGATGCCATCAACCACGCCAACGACTGCGTCACCATCGACACATGCACCAGCCACTTCTCAGCCCAGTCACAAGCGGGCTCGCCGGAACAAGAAGCGAGGTGGCAAGAAGCACTAAAATCATGTTTTACTACCTCAGGCCCAGTCCCAATATGTGTTGATAGTCAAGGCAGGGCTGTCCCGATGCTTGTCGAGTTTTTGACCAAGCCCTCGCGAATCCTTATCGAGTTTCTAATTGACCAGAATGATGATATCCGTGTATGACCTCCTCCTTCTGGTGCACTCACACACACACATGTAAACCTCGTCCTTTTGATTGTGCAAGCTGGACGATAATGATGACAACATGCACATCCAACATCATCATTACACAAGCCAAAAGAGCTCTGTTGTCAGACAATGTAAAGTAAACAAAACACAAAAAGCTTGGGCATCTTGTTGTGTGTGTGTGTGTGTGTGTGTGTGTGTGTGTGTGTGTGGAGCAACATCCGAGGCCTTTTTCTTCCCACAGACACAGACACAGACGCACACACTTGGCTTTGCTTTTGGAGTTGGTGCAGGTCTTGGGTAAGATTGGGGACTGGGGCAGAGGGGGAGCGCGTTTTGATATGCCTCTGTCGCACATACCGCCTTGTTCTTGTTGGCATGCATGCGGCTGCTCAATGAGCCGATCTATTCATCGGCTGGCCGACTTTGCCAATCTTGGGTCGCAGGCAACCTGTCGCGGTCGCCATAGTACACCACGCGCAGGAGGGGTGCTCGGTGGGCGGCGTCAGTTGTGGTCACGCAGCGTGGAGGAAGCAGCACCACAAGGGCAGGTTTGTTGTCCATCGCTCCTGTTTTGATCTTTTCAGGGTTCCAGCCTTCTTGGTCAGGCCATCGTCTGCCGCGTTGTGACTCACACACGCGTAATGTGTGCTTCCCCCACGCCGCCGTATCCCAGCATCCTTCCTCCAGCGTGCTCCAATTGACCGACCACAGATGCCCTGTACCGTCTGCTAAAGCCCGCAGTGCTCCCTGTCAAGCTTGCAGCCCGGATCGGCGCCTGCTGAACCTGGTGTGGTGCCAGCTCCTAGGCGACAGCTCCGCGTGACATTTTTTTTTTTTTTTTTTTTTTTTTTGGGCTCAAACTTCTCACTCGCACTTGGACGGGCAAGATGGAGCTGGCCGACCCCGATTTGCTGCCAGCTGCCGTGCAATCTTGCCGACCGCACAGTCCGGGTGCAGAAATTGACGAACAGGTACCTCGCTGTGTAGAGTGCCCATCAGCCCGCCCCCCCCCCCCTGACACATCGCGCCGCGACGTGGCGGGTGAACGCTCCCCACTTTGCTCAAGCGCATATCCTCGCCTCCGCTTGCCTACCTCCCCCTCCCAACAGCTGGAAGCGCTGGCAGCCGGGTTCCATGACATTTTTCGTGCGGCGCGTCGAGCCGGCAGTTCTTTCCTTGAATCCGCCAACCAAATGCTGCTCCAGAGCGATGTCGCGGTTTGTTCGGCATGACTGTGGCCTCCCGCTATCCACCTGTCATGCCCGGCTCAAAAGGCAATTTGATTGACTGATGTCGTGCTGCTTGTGTTGGTCGCCCCCCGGCTGCTTGCTGCCCGTGAAATGGCTCGTCCTCTTCCTTTATTTCTTGCGACAGCAATTGCTGGCCCCTGAAGCCGACGTTGGTCCTCCAACACCCCGCCACCTTCCTATTATTGGCATCATGGGCTCGGGTGCGTTCGTGTGTCTCGTTAATGCTTAATGTAGCTGCTTTTCTCACCTCTTCACTCGCTTGTATCCATTCACTTGACCGCCTTTTTGCTGGGTCGCGTATGTGCCTGCCCCCGTGTGCTTGATCTAGGCACGTATGGGCACGAAGAATTGGCTGAGCCGCTGGGCCGGTAAGGTGGTTCCACCCTTCTCATGCCGGTGCCCTCAGCTTATATCGTTGCAAAAGCCGTTGCATAACCTTTTTTGTTCATTGCAATCGATAGGTGGCTGGCAGCGGCCGGTTTTCATCTATTGACTGGTGGAGGCCGAGGTGTCATGGAGGCGGCCACACGGGCTTTCACCACAGTGCCCAAGCGCTCTGGCTTTGCAATTGGTATCATTCCTTGCTCAGAGTACAATATTCTTGAGCCCAAGGTTGGAATTGTTTCTCTCATCTCGTATGACCTGGAGAAGAAGAAAAAAAAAAAAAAAAAGAAGAAGAAAGAGAGAGGGAGGGAGAGAGATCAACAGGCTGGATGCCAAGAGCCGACTATCTCTGCCTTGACATTGTCTCTTCGCCCTCCTCTACCACCTTGGTTGGGGTTGGTTTTTTCATTTTTCTAGTCTGGCTACCCAAACGACTTTGTCGAGATTCCCATCATGACGCACCTCCCGCCCGTGGAGGGTTCCCACATGCTGAGCCGCAATCACATCAATGCTCTCACGCCCGCCGTTGTCATTGCCTTGCCCGGTATGTTCACCAGTTGCTGGGAAGCCACATGCCTATAGCCGCCGTGTTGAGCCGTGTCTCACGATCAACGGGCCAAACGCTACTGCTGCAGGCTCAAGCGGTACGGCATCTGAGGTCCAACATTGTCGGGCTTACAACACTCCGGTCTGCATCTACTCTCCTGATGGCATTGAGGCTGTTCCGGGCGTGGACCCGTCTACCGTGGTGCTCTGTCGGTCTGTTATGCGAATGTTGCCCCGTGCGCGCGCGCGCGTGTGTGTGTGTGTGTGCGTGTGTTTCACAACATCGTTTGGACTATGACCTTGTGTTGGGTTAGGTCGCTCCCTGAGGTCATCGGATTTGTATATGATAGTCTACAAGCAGCGCGCGACCAAAGCATCAGAGCCGAACGATCGGGGTTGGATCGTCTTTTGCCCCCAAACGTTCACGATCTAAAGCCCAGTAGTAGCAAAAGCACACAGACACTTCGGGCTCCACGTCGTCTCCGTACCAGCTCCTCTGGCACGCAGACAGATCGACCGGCCGAGGAGATGGGTCCAGACGCTCCCTTGGATCCGTGGAGTCTCTCTCTTCTCACCTCAGCCCTCCAACCAGCTGCCTAATCATGAAATCAACGCTCCTCCTTTTGCTTTACATGTGTGTGTGTGTGTGTGTGTGTGTGTGTGTGTGTGTGTGTGTGTGTGTGTGTGTGTGTGTGTGTGTGTGTGTGTGTGTTGTCAGCAAAAGTGTTGGCGGGAAAATCGAACTTGATTTGTCGACAACCTAATGTACAACATCATGAACAGACACCAGTTCACCGCCAATGTGCCGAACATCATCACTCTCGATACATCACTGCCGCAATGGCCACTGAACTGGATCGAGCCCGTTCGGCAACAGCGCATGCCATGACTGTATGGCGTCAAAGTGATGCCCTGACCATGCAAGGTATGCCAGAAACAACCCCACGGGCAATTTGATGTGGCCCGCATCGATGGTGATAAATCCTGCGAGCCTCAAGGAGCCCACCCTGGTGTGTGTAGAGGTACAAGCCTCCTGGCAAGGGACTTGGCAAGCCGCGACACAAGCTGCTGTGGAAACCTTGCAGACTCATCTCGATCAGGCCCGTCTAGCTCTTGATTTGGGTTCACCGACACTCAGAACAAACACCCTCTGTCCGATTTTGAAGCAAAGCCCATCATGCCTGTGGTCTGACTCATCAAGTAGATTCTTTGTTGTTACCTACAGGTTCATCAAGAGCCTCTTATGGAGCTGGCTGCTTGTCGTGCCCGTTGGCTTGAGGTGCAACAACGGTGGGCCAACCTCCAGGCGCAGACAGCGACCAGTCCTCTGCTTGAACAGACGGCAAAACGCATTCGAGTTCAAGGTGAAAGTGCAGATGCTGCCTGCACCTTCGCGTCCACATAAATGCATATCCTGCTCACCGCCCGGGCCACTTTTAGCAGGGCCAGACACATCAACCGTCGAGCAGGTGCTCGAACGGTCTCGAGTCAGTCTCGACGAGCGACGCCGGCAATTGAGCTGTAAGTCTGCACAAATGGGGGTGCATGTCCACTGTCAACAGCTTTAAAAGTTTCTACCATTACTTGGATTTGGTTTGCTAGGCGAGCAGGTGCAGCGCATGACCACGGCCCTCCAGCAAGTGGCTGCTCTCTGGCAACAAGCATCCAGCGAAATCCAACGAGCTCTCGACAATGCGTCTTGCGCGGTATCGTGAAGGCGCCTCCTCGTCAATTACGGCTCTTGCAGCTCCTGACTTAGTGACACCCATCTCGAATGCACGGGCAGGTTCAAGAAGCGGCCCATGGCGAGGTGGCCAGCTTACAGGCACGCCTTGAAAGTGCAACGGCACGACGCGGTGCCCTCGAGCTGTTGGTCCCGCGGAATAACATGTCGATAGGAGAACGGGCCGACACCCCATCCGCTGGGCCACCTGATCATGTTCAAACCACGACCAGCCTCTGAAAGCAGATCAGGCGCCTTTTGCCAACAAATCGACTCGGGCGGCCTTGTCATGCTCAGACAAATAGAATGGGAGCAGCACAGCGGAAAAGGAAAAGAAAATTCGGTTCACGATTGCCAAAAGAAAAAAAAAAAAAAGGAAAAAAAGGGGGAGGCAGCCACAGCTGCGACAGAGGAGACGGACAACGGCAGGCAAGAAAGCACACAAGAACTTGACCGTCAACAAGCCAAATCCAAGACTCGAGGAGGGTTATTTAATGACCAGACAAGGCCTGCTTGGCAGCCTGAATCAATGGCACCAAAGACTTGAGCGGGCTGGCCTTCTTGAGGAAGGGGTGCTGCAACAACTCTGAGGCGGAAGCACGGTCATCGACAGACATTTCTAGACTTCTCGACAAAAAGTCCTTGAACTCATCAGATAGCTGGTCTGGGTTTTGCAGCTCTGGCGTGCCGTTGGTAGCAATTAGATACAATGCCTGAAGATGCATCACGCAAAGGCAACAAAGCGGCATGCCAATGAAAAGAGTGCAGGTCGCAAAGGCACGGCTGTGCTGAGCAAACACGGAATGGTTTAGCGGTGTTGAAAAAGAAAAAAAACAAAACAAAACAAAGCAAATGAGTCGCTGGCTGCAAAACACAGGTACGCACGCGCAGAGGGTTTTCGTTCAGGTATGGAGGTTCGCCTTCAATCATCTCGATCGCCATGATGCCCAAGCTCCAGATGTCGACTTTGGGGCCGTACTGTTTGCGCGTAACGACCTCAGGAGCCATCCAATAAGGAGTGCCCACCATGGTGGAGCGCTTGGATGCCTCGCCAGCCAGCTGGGCGCAAAAACCAAAGTCAGCTACACACAAGGTTGGGGCAGAAGAGGGATCAGGTGAGTTGAAATCAGTTTAAAACTCGGGCATGAAAATGGAAAAACTTTTCTTGATTTCTTTTCAAAGGTAAGCGGGCAGACACTTGACGAGCCACGCACTCAGCTTGACGGCACCATCCATGCCCAAAAGAACGTTGTCGCTCTTGATATCACGGTGAATGACGGAGCTGGCATGCAGAAACTCAAGGGCCTTGAGGCATTCTCGGCAAATGGAGGCAATTTGCCCCTCATTGAGGATCGTCTCTGTCACTACGTCGGTCAGGGAGCCACCGGCCAGGTATTCCATGATGACCCACAGCTCCTGATCTGAGACAAGGAAACTATCCACATAGTTGACAATGTTGTCTTGTTGATGCTCCCGCATGACCAGAATCTCGTTGATAATGAGCTCCTTCTTCGGTTGCTGAGCCAGATTCATTTGCTTGATAGCAACCACGTTACCCGTGGTGGTGTCGGTGGCCGTAAAGACGGTGCCTGAAGCACCCTGTCCAATTTTTTGCAGCTCCTTGAAGCGGCTTTTGGGATCAGACGGGTTGACAATCTCACGCAATTTTCGCAACACCTCCTCATCGGACATTTTCTTCTTGCCCTTGTCCCGCTTCTTCACATCAGCAGTGCCTGCAGCGGGGGCCGGACTGCTAGGGGCGGCAGCTGCCGGCGCAGAGGCCGAGTCAGTAGACGGGGCCGGTGAGGTGGTGGGGGGCGGCGGCCGCGCCGGCTTCTCGCTGGCCTTGGCAATCGGCTATTGAGAATGGGCAATGTAGATGAGTTCACGGACACGGGGGTCAAGAGCAAAAAGGAAGAAGAAGTGGTACCTTGGTTTTCTCCGACTTTGTAAACTCAGGGCGGGCTACCACGGGGGGTGCCTGCGCGGCAGTGCCCGAGCTGCTGGGACTGTCGCGGCCGGGGGTGGCTGAGTCCTTGCGATTGATCTGTACAGTCTGTTTGGCTGACTTCTTTTGAGAGCCGTCCACGGTCATGTACTTAAGCTGGCCCTTGGGTTCTTGACCACCGCCAATGTCTTCTGTGTAGAAACCCAGTACATCCACCATGGCTTGGGGGTTGCGAGCAATTTCGTTCTTGGAGATGCCCGATATTTGCAAAAGGGCGCTCCATTGCGGCGGCAGTCCCTGCAGCCGAGATCATTTCCGAAAGCATGTGACGTTGTCCAGGGTGCCAGAGGCAGAGAGGGGCCGCAAGCGCAAAGTGCAAGTATCGGGAAAAAAAAAAAAAAAAACAAAGACACAAAAGGGAGTGGCATGAGTCAGGTGTCGATCCGGACAAGAGGTGCTGATTCGTCGCTCGGGTCGTTTGCTTTTTAGGTTTACTTTTTCTTCCTTTTTCTTCCCCCCCTTTGTGCCTGGAGTAGTTCGTACCGAGAATTCGCCCGTTTTGGGGTCAAAGCCAACGTGAACCTCGTGGACGAAATCAATGGGACCCGAAATGTCATCTTTGCGCACTGTCAAAAGAGTCAAAGGAGCGACCCAGCAACGAGAGGGTGAGTTGCTTGGGAAAATCGAAAGAAAGCAAAGTCAAATACGCTCGCACAATAAGGTGTTGGGTAGGGCTGGTGGGGCACGTTGCACGTTAACAAACCTGAGGCTTTGTCCTCGCGCTTGGAGTTGCTGCCACCAAAGGGCCAAAACTTCTTGCCAGGCTTATCCTTTTAATGGAAGAAGAATCAAGGGTGAGGGCAGGCATGGGCGCAACCATGCTGCAATGTGCCAGCTGAGGCCGAAACGCAGCATACCATGACGTCTAATTTTGTATTCCTCTATCCGGCTAACAATGGCGCCAGGGGAGGGAGGTGTCAATGCCGCGCAAGGCACTGACGCATCCAAGGGTCACCTGAGCTGGATGCGGCTGGAAAACAATCTCGTGGCAAGGATGGGTTCGATGCTTTGCAAGCAAGCCAAGACCGAGTTCTCTGCGTTGCAGTCTGGACACGAGTGTGAACCGGTAGTCGACGAATCCGGGGACAAGCTGGCTGGGTCAGTCCAAGTGATATGATGGCAGAGTAGCACAGCACCCAGAGAGCAACGGATGGAAGGGTGATGGCGTCAAAGGTCGACCAAGTCAGCAAGATTTATGGATCCATCCAGCCGTGTAGGTCTCGGTCAATCGGCAGGCTCCACTCTTGAAGACCCGGGGCTGGCCTCTGTACAGGCAAGCCCAAGGCGAGGGGATACAGTCAGTTGGTCAGCTGAGTTGAGCGACACGGGCAAGATCATTTCTGGCCAGCAGCAGTCTGGTCTCACAAGAAGAAACAAGAAAAGAGCAAAAGGAAAAGAGGGCGGAGGGTGGCACACTGGCTCGAGAACGCGTTGTCCAAAGCAAAAGGGATTGAATGCAATCAAGAAGGTCTCATGACGGGGCCGGGTCATGCAAGTGGGCGGGGCGATATTGACTGTGTGTGTGTTGTGTCGTGGGGGCTGTCTGTCTGGGCTGTCTTGAAAGGGGCCAGTCACCGCACACCGACCGACCTTTGGGGGGACCAGTCGCTCAATATGCATGAGCTGTCGTGTTTCCTCCTCTCTGTTGTTTGTTGTTGGTGCTGTGTCGTTGTTGTTGTTGTCGTCGTTGTTGTCGTGGTGGTGGAATTTGGGCTGTGACTTGGCGGAGCAGATAAGCAAGTTATTGTGGAAATACTCGGAGTTATAATATGAGTTTATGCGGGTGTTGATAAAGTTTATGTCGTCCTCTTCATCTCGGGTCGTTTATTGTTTCTTTTGTTCTCTCTTTTGTTCTCAGTGGCGCACACGCAAACACAAGACTTCGCTCGCGCGGCTTCTTTGTCTTCCGTTTTACTTTCGGGAGGGCCATGTTTACAGCTCAGCTAACCTCTCGGGTTTATTTAAGAGGGGTTCTTCACCAACTCGCAAAGGTCCCTTCAGCTACCAAATGTCAATATCCATTGACTTCAAAACTTCTTCTTTTTTTTCCCCCACCACCCCAAATGTCAGCATAGAATCTCTCTTCTTCAACTGTGTGTGTGTGTGTGTGTGTGTGTGTGTGCTGTGGTGTTCGCCTCTTGAGAAAGAGAACACAGAACATACGTTAGTTTTTATCTGCAAGACGACGTACGACGACCATCGACAGCTGAGAACGGTTGTGCTCGTGATCATCAAGAGGTGTGTGTGTGTGTGTGTGTGTGTGTGGTGCCTCCGGCCCGGCCCGACCCGTCTCGCTCTCTTGCTCCCACACATGGGTGCGAATGCACGCGTCCAGCTCTGCCCCTTGTGGTCCAGACTGGCAAGTGAGGGTGGGACATCCAGCTCGGAGAAGAAACAAAAAAAAAGAGCGGGAGTCAAGTGCCCACAGGCAGCACGACAGCTTGACCCGAGCCGTCGTGTCGTGTCGTGCTGCGGCCTCACTGCTGGCGAGGCTCCTCTGTCCATTGAACCTTGTCCGGTTTCAATGCCTCACCAAGTTCGCTGCTCTTCCCCCTTGATAACAGGCATTGTCGCGTTCGCTTTCCACGCCGTTGGCCTTGGGCTACCTGTCAACAGGGTGGCTCCGGCCTCTCGGCCCACTTGGCTGGACTCAAAGCTTGCTTTGTCTTCCTTCTCTTCCCGTCGTTGCATGCGGATACAAGACCAGGCTTGAGTGCCCACACCACCACTTCTTCCTGCGCGCCTTCCTGCGCTAGACAGACTCGCATGGACAACGCTGATCACAGCGCTTCCGGATCCAGGTAAGCTGCGCCCTTTTTGCCGACCTCGGAGTCGGGCCCGTAGACTTTGCCAGCTCGTGGTCCGCATTGGCCCCACCATGACTCTTCTGAATGCCTGGGGAATATAGGCGGCGAGGAGCCCAAAGTGAACGCCAGGCAGCGCAGGCCAAGCGAACTCAGCCTGGCCAGCAGCAGGACTCATCTCAAAGCGAATCTCCCCTCACCCCCGCACCCACGAGCAAACGTGCCAAGAGCACCCGCACTTCCACACGGTGTGTCGAGCTCGCTTCCGCGCACATTGATAGTTGCAATCAATCTCAAACTCAACTGGTCTCAACCCTGTTTTCTTCAAAGGCGCGCCGAGCGAGCTAGCAAGGCATCGCAGCGCGAATCGGCTCTGCCGGCGCCAGCGCCCGGCGCTGGCGCAAGCGCTGCCATCGCTGCCGCGCAGAGTGCTGCCTCTCGAGCAACCTCCACAGCGCCTACGCGCACAACCAACGCGACACTTCCTCACGGAGCGTACGTCATGCCCACGCTTTGACGGCGGCTTTCGGGAGGAATATAAAACATCTCACCCCCGCGCCGTATTGCTCTCATCCTGCGTCTTGGTTCGGGGGCACCCCCTCCACGCAGCCCGCGCCATCTAGGTCGGCAAGCTCGTGGCCAATCGACGGCAAGTGGCCCCACCTCACCTCACCACCGAAACTCCTCCGCCAGATCCAGCACGAGCGCAAGTCGCAGCTCCAAGGCTCGACGAATCTCCCGTCGCTCCCAGCTACCCAGCCCAATTCCAAGTCCTGTCCCACGTGACACCATGGATGAATCAAGACTGTCTGACATTGCACAACTCTTGGCCATGGCCACGGCCCACCGCGGTATGCATTTGCTTGTTGACCTCCCCTTTCCATGTCCTTAGCTGGAACAGCGTGTGTGGCCTTAGCTTATCCTTCTGCCCCCATCACATCCATGTCGATAAAAGAAGATACAAGTCGCAGGCAAGAAGGAGGGTCACACCGCCGAGGCGCAGCTCGTCGCTCTCAACCCCCACGCAACTCCTTCCCATCCTCGCGTGACCCTGCAACCCTTGCTGATGATGACGACGAAGATGAGGAGGCAGGCCTGGAAGATGAGCTGTTTTACCGACATGCCTTTGGTCTTGATGACGATGAGCACGGCGACGGCGACGATGACGCGGAGCACGATGTAGGGGAGGAGGGTGACGACGACCATGGGGAAGAAAGTGCCTTGAGCGATCCCGCTGCCCGCTTCGCGCGCATGATGGCGCGAGGTCCACGTGGTGCGCGTGCTCCACCCAGCGACCGCCTCAGCGCCCTGCTGCAGCAGTTTGCCAACGCAAGCGGCGGCATGCCATTTGGTGCACGGAACCTCGGTCGATCTCCTCATGACCGTTATACCCGCGGCCTCGAGTCGCCTGATGCCATGGTGCGCCAGTCAACTCTTGAGGATCTCTCCCAAACGTTGCTCATGGGAAATGAGGAGAGCTTGGGCAGCTTCCCTTTCCGCTCCATTACCCCGGCCTTGCGCCACATCATCGAGGTGGAAACCGACCCACAACTGGCCGTGCTGGCTTGTCGGTGCTTAACCAACATGCTTGAGGCTCTCCCCCAAACGGCAGGAATCGTCGTGGCTGCTGCTCCCGCGCTATGTGGCAAACTTTTGACGATTGAGTTTATTGACGTGGCTGAGGCCGCCCTGACGTGCCTGTACAAACTAACGGCAACATCGGCCGGGGGCGTGCTTGATGCTGGTGGCATGGCTGCCGTACTGACCTTTCTGGACTTTTTCCCCACCATGACTCAGAGGGACGCCACGGCGGCGGCGGCACGCATGGCCCAGCAGCTGGTGCCGCAAAAGTACGACCTAGTCCGTGACGTTATTCCCAACCTCACCCAGTTGCTGGAGGCCCACACCAACCCGGGCGTTCTCGAGAACGTGGCGCTCACCTTTGCCAACATGGCCGAGGCTTTGTGCGGGAGTCACGACGTCTTGGTGAAGCTTGACGAGCATGGTTTTGCTCGCCGAGCCCTGGATTTGCTCTGCAACCACCGACAGGTGCTCTCAGCCTCTGTGCAGTCGAATCTCATTCACACCTGCGCCATTCTCACCCACTATGGGCCCGAGGTGGCCTTGGCCCTCCTCAATGCGGGTGCCCTCGAGCTGCTCGGACAATTCCTGCATCAGGCACGAGCCATCACCGTGGGTTCGGGAAGTACACTGCAAGCCGACGGCGCTGCCGCCAACGAGAGCATCCTGGACGCTTCCGTGCTAGATGAAGCCCAGGCCACTGCGACAGCATCGGCTTCTGTGACCTTCAACCTCACTCGAACACAGCTCGTGGATGTGTTGGAGATTTTTAGCTCGCTCCTCCCCGCCGTTCGCTCGGAAAGCCACTTTGCGCGTTACTGTGAGCAGCATAGCTTAGGTGGCAATGCGGCATATTGGCAGTGGCAAGACCGCGGTGGATGGCGCACGTATAGCCCCGCTGTCTCGCGCACCATCGAAGCTGCCTTTCGCGCTCACAGCAACGCCGCTCAAGTCCAGGTGCAGGGTCGGCATTACATGATTCGCTTTTCGGATCTCGTGCAATTGGACATGGAGTCGCATAGCCGGCGCCGCGTCCGTCGGCGTCACACTGCCTCGGCGTCTCAAGCCGATTCTACGCCCAATGCGGAAACGTCCCAGCTGGCAAGTTTCTATGCCGCCAACGGCTCGGCCGTGGAGCAGATCATGGACCTAACCACGGGCATTCTTTTTGACATCTACCAGTCGTCGTCGCGTCAAAAGCTGCGCTTGGTCTTCATCTCTGTCCTCATCAAGGTCCTGCAAATCTGCTCAAATGATCTTTTGCATCGCCTCTTGGCCGAAGTGCAAATGTCGAACCACTTGGCTGAGATGTTGAATGATGCCAACGTTGGAGTGAAGCTCGGTGCGACTGAGTGCGTGCGGATTCTCATGCAGAAGCTGCCCGATGTCTTCGTCGTACATTTTATGCGCAAGGGCGTGGTGCGAGCTCTTGGTCGCATTGCAGAGCAAGTGCCGCCGGCCCCTAGTCCCGCAGAAACCTCGACTGCCGCCACGAGCACCACTGCAAGCCAGAGTCGAGAGCATGAAGAGGGACAATCCGGCCCCTTGCGTCGCGCTCACCGCCGCCGCCGCTCCTCGCAGTTGGCGGGCGCGAATGAACCGGATGACACAGCTTCTGGGCCTGCACCCGAGGCGCCACCCCCTATGTTTGATGCTTTTGCTGCCTTGCAAAAGGAGGCCCAAGAACTCCGCGCTGATTATTTTAGTGCCGCTTTACCGGCTGGCCCAGCGACGCTGCGATCGTACGTGGGCTCGCCTGCCTTTTTCTCCTTCATGCGCTCTCGCACAGTCATGTGTGTAGTTGTGTGCTTTGGCCCAAAATCCTGAGCGCATGTCGGTACTCATGCGATGGTTCATGCTATTGCGTAGTCGCTGTGCTACTCTGCGCGAGTCTATTCTTGTGGCCCAAACACACGTCGAGTATAGCAAGGCTTTTGGACGCTTGGCGTCATTTTTGCAGGATGATGATGGTGTGACCGCCTTTGAGCTTTACGATTCTGGTCTTTGCGATGCATTGGTCAAGTAAGTTTTTTTTTTTTTTTTTTTTTTTTTTTTGCACTTTCTTCCGGCCTTTCCTGTCCATTTTGTGAACTTTGACTAAACTTTGCACAATTGTGTAGGGCTCTAACCAAGCCTGCAGGAACCACACAATCCGACGTGCCGCTTTTGGCATTTGTGACCGTGTTCTATCAACGCGACCACCCTGAAGTGCTCAAAAAATTGCTTCAGGTTTTGCACGTTGCCATCCGCATTCTTGAGAGCTTCAAGGCAAGCGACAATCAGGAGGGCGGCTCCGTTGACGACATGCTGGAGGGCACATTGCGTCTCAATCTGCGGCGAGCAGATGATTCGGACGAGCTCAAGGAGTTTCCACCAGCATTGGTCATGATCGAGCCCATGACTCCCATTCAGGTACTTGTGTGCATGTGTGTGGTGTGTGTGTGTGTGTGTGTGTGTGTGTGTGTGTGTGTGTGTGTGTGTGTGTGTGTGCGTGCGTGCGTGTGTGTGTGTGTGTGTGTGTGTGTGCGTGCGTGCGTGTGTGTGTGTGTGTGTGCCCTTGTTTGTTTCTCCGCTTGCAAGGCGGGAAATTCCGTACATTTGACCGCTTCTGTTCCGCTCGTGCCCCACTTTTAATACCCCTCCCCTTCCTTTTTTGTTATATCCACTTCATCTCATTTGATACCTTTTTTTCCCTGCGCCTTGATTGCAGGCCATTGAGGACTTCCTATGGCCACGCGTGCGCAAGTCACGAGCCGCGCGTAAAGAGGAGCTCTCACAACGCCGTCGCAGCAGCACTAACAGTCGCAGTCGCCAAATCTCTGCGCCAGCGTCGCTGGCATCATCCCAGCACGCGGCACGTTCTGCTGCAGTCTCAAGCGAGCCACGCCGAGCCAGCGCCATGGATGGCGAAGAGCGCCCGGGCGACCACGTCGATGACGAGATGGGTGAAGCGGACCCGGATTGCGAGGTTGATGAGGACGAGGAGGATGTTGATGATTTCGAAGACGAGGACGAGGACGAGGACGAGGACGAGGAGGGCGAGAGTGCAGGAGAGGGTGATAACAACAGTGCACGTGAGTGTCAGGACGCATTATCCTCATCAAGCCTAAACGGCGCCCTCTGCACGAAATTCTCACCCACTTTCCATGCGTGTATGCTTTGATGCGAAATGATATGCAGGTCGGCGCCATCATCGACATGCCTACAAGGTTGAGCTCCAGCCTGCAGCCAGCGAGCGACCGTGGTGGGAGAAGCGTGTTCGCTCTGCCGCCCGAGCCGCCGGGCACCTTGAACTGTTGTTTAATGGCCATGTGTTGCCACCGCACGTGTCCATCTACCAAGCGGTTCACATGTATGCACAGTCCCAGGATGATAGTGCTCTGGACAGCACGGCTGAAGAAGCGCAGCAGGCCCCTCCAAATTTGGCGCAGCTTTTGCGTGCCCGCATCCGGGGCGCGCATGGCAACGCTTATACAATCGAATATCGCCCTGCTCGCAACCAACGCAAAGGCCCGCATGGCCAAGGCACTGTATCGCCGGCGAGCGCTGCGGGCTTTGGCGAGCGTGTGTCTCAGGCGCGTTTGGCAGAGCTGTCCCTTCCTCCCATCCCTCACCTCGAGACGGTGGTTGAGGACCCGGCCGGATCGGCAATCCAGCTGCTGCGCCTGCTCTACATCCTCAACGTCAATCGCTCGCATCTGCTGGACAATCTGCCGACCTCATGCGCAGGGGCGGAGGTGCTAAATGATTCGGCATTTGTCAACCACATGTTGTCCACCAAGCTATTGCGCGAGGTGTCCAACTTTTCTGCCATCAGCAAGGCGAGCTTTCAGGCCTGGTGCACTGCCTTGGTACAGCTGTGCCCGTGTCTGGTCCCCTTTGCCCAACGCATGCGCTACTTCCGTTACACAGCCTTTGGTGCCGCGCGTGCCATGCAATTTTACCGAACTGAGATGCAGGGCAGCAATGCCAGCGCTAGCGCCAACAACGGTGCTGGTGGCAGCGAGTTTCGACTCACCCGCACCAAGGTCAGCGTTCCTCGCGACGGCATCTTGGAGGCTGCTCACCAGGTGCTTTTCAAATTTGGCGAATTGCGGACTGTTCTTGAGGTTCAGTTTACCGACGAGGTGGGAACCGGTCTGGGGCCCACACTCGAGTTTTATGCGCTTGCTTCACGAGAACTGCAACGTGCGGATCTGGCCCTGTGGCGAGGCGAGGCCGGGGAAGGTGCAGAGTATGTCCATCCAACGACCGGCCTGTATCCCCGCCCCACTTTCAAACCGAATCGTCGCACGCTGGTGCTTTTCGAAACAATGGGCCTTCTCGTGGCCAAGGCCGTGCAAGATGAGCGCGTTGTGGACCTGCCCTTGAATCCGCTCTGGTTTCGATGGCTTCTCCCCGGCCCCACCCCGGGAACTCTAGCCGACCTTCGCTTGCTGGATGAATCTCTCCACCACAGCCTGGAGCAAATGTCTATTTTGGCAGACCGCTGGGCGGAAGCTCAGCGCACACATGCTGGCGATGCAAAAGGCTTGGCCCAAGCCGCCCAGGCACTCAACTTTCAGGGCGCGGCTATTGAGGACCTTGGATTGACATTTGTGCTTCCTGGTTATGATGTTGAGCTCAAGTCGGGTGGTGCTTCTATGGATGTGACGTTGGAGAACTTGGCTGAATATGTTAAAGTATGTAGGGGGGATTGTATGCTTGCATCAAGTGCAGCAGCCCAGACCCTTATAGTCAAGGCTTGCTATTGGTTGCACTGACCCTTTCGCCGTTGTGGGGACATTCACTTCCGTCCGTATGATGCCGGTGTATAGCTCGTCTTGGACTGGAGTCTGCGCCGCGGCGTGCAAAAGCAAATGCAAGCGTTCTTACGTGGTTTTGATCGTGTTGTGCCCCGCGAACACCTCGCCATTTTTAATGCCAGCGAGGTGTGTGCTCAGCCGCGACTTCTTGCCAAGGCTGCTCCTGTCTCGTGGGTGTGAGGGTGATTTCAACCCAACTCATGGCAACCCCTTGTCCCTCTGGTCTGTCTTGCAGGTGGCGGAGCTCATCGGTGGCCACAATAACCTGCCCTGGGGCATCGAGGGTGAGTGCACGCTGTCAGTAGCAGGCAGAGTCTGGGCGGCACTGACTAGTCGACTCATGGATGCATTTGTCGCGTCTTCTGTTATCGGGGTTGTTCATTTTTAGACTTGCGTGCGGCCCTCAAGACAAATTACGGCTACACCATGGACTCACCTCAGGTCGCACAGCTTCTCGAAATCTTGGCCAGTTTTGGCCAGGAGGAACGTCGGGCTTTTGTACAATTTCTGACTGGCAGCCCCAATCTTCCGGTCGGAGGTACGTGCCTGACCCGCCGTCCTTTTGTTCGACGGGCCCTAATCCCTCCCTCCAACACTCATTTGCTATTGCGTGTCATTTTGACATCTGACTTTGTCCAGGATTTGCCAGCTTGCAACCGCCGTTGACTGTGGTGCGCAAGGACCCTGAGGGTGCTGCCGATGCCGTCTTGCCGTCTGTCATGACTTGCCAAAACTATCTCAAATTGCCGCCGTACAGCGGTCTGGAGGTCATGCGCGACCGCTTGCGGTTTGCCATGTTTGAGGGTCAAGGCTCATTTGACTTGTCGTAGTGTGCCCTGTGCAAGCGTGTCTGCGGTCCTCTTCTTTTGACAAGTTGAAATTGATCACCCCTTTTCGAGTTTGTTCTGGATGGAAAGACGCGCGACCGTGCAAAGAATACACTGGGATAAGACGCTTAGACTATGTGCCTCGTTGTATGCCCCGGAATAGCAGCCCATGCCCATCGGCGACAACCTGCCTGGAATGGATGTAAACAACTAACACTAAAGAAGAAGCAGGGTCCAGAAAATGTTGATTGGGGGCATGAACAAAGGGCCAAAAGGGCTGCACAGCAGCTGATTGGGAGTCTAGGCGTTTGCTATTACAATGGCAAAGCCGAGTCCTCAAAGACCTTCAAGCCTCTACTGGCCAAGCCGGCGGCGATGATGCTCATGGGGAGATGTCGCTGTGCATATCGGGCATGCTGACATGGGTTTCGTCTTCGCGTAGAAATTGGTGCTGTAGTGGTTGGCTGCGACCGATCTCACCAATGCTTGGTTGAGATGCACCGCGCCGCAGCATTCGTGGAGATGCACGGTCATTGTTCAGCTCGTCAGATGGTCGGGTCATGTCGATTGAAGGTCGATGTGATGGAGCTGTTGTGACGGTAAACTGTCCAAAGTCCCGCAAACTGCTAGCCAGTTTGTGTAGGTCACCCATCAACTCCTGCCCAAGGTCAGGTGCAAGCGATATTCGACAAGAACAATGAGGTTAGTGGTTGGGTGGTGGCGTCTCAGTGACGCCGAGAAGAGTAGCGAAACGAGAGTTGGGCAGACGAGAGTTGGGCAAGTCATAGAAGCCGAGAAGAGATTTGTTTCATCGGGGTAGGGGAATCATTGAACGTACATCTCCGCTGGGGCCTGCACGGTGCTCAAAAGACTCGAAAGTTTGTCGTCCCTGTAACATCCACCAAGCCCAGGCAGGTCGGTATGAGCGGAGAAACACAACGATAAAAACGAAAGACTCTGGGCTCGGACCTCATCAACGCTGCCATCGTCCTCCTCACTGCACATCAGGTTGTCACCAGGGGGGCGAGTAAGTGTGGCAGGGCGCGACCATATGTGCGGTGTGCACGTGTGTGTGTGCACGGGCGCCAGGATCAACACTGAGCTGAAAACGCAACTTACAGTCGCTCAGTAAGCTGCATGTCAAACTCCTGCAGCTTCAGCGACAGCGCTTGCTGTTGCTGCCGCAGATTATCCAAGCGTCGAAAAACCTCGTCAGTTTGAGGACCTAGCACGAGAGGCATAGGGAAAGGTCATTGCTGCTCACGATGAAGTCTGCATTGGATGACAAAGGTCGAGTCCACGGACCAAAAGCTGAAAGATTGCCCCGTTCAATCTCCTCCCGCACATCTTGCAGCCGAGAAATCTGTTCAAAGGGCAATGAAACCGATTTGAGCTTGATACCAGCTTGCTACTCATTAGGTTGTCAATGACGGAGGAAGAATAGCTGGCCAGGGTTGCTTACGTCGTTGCCCTCCAACGCCGCAGTGACGGTAGGCACATGATGCTCGTTGCCTACACAGGACTGTGAGGATCACGACACACACACCGACCATGATAGATGATAGCAGGAGACGGTGGGCGACCAACCAAAGTATTCACTGGAAGCTAAGCTTCGATTGCTGCTGTACTGGTGACTTGCACGGCTATGGAAAGAGCCGGCGATCAAGATGACACCGAGGCAAGCGGGCGCGGTGGAGCAAGCAATGTCGAATCGCTGTGGCTCACATACCCGGTCGGCCGATCCATGCTGTGAAAGATGGTGTCTTGAGCCCCGGCAGTCCCCAAAGAGGGTGCACGTCGGTGACCTTCGATAGTAAACGAGGCCCGCAATCGACGCTGTTCCTCTTCATACGAGTTTTGCTGCCGTCGCAGCCGTGGCTTTCGCGCCGCCATTTTTCCGTGTCTTTTTTTTTTAGAGAGAGAGAGAGAGACAAAGAAAACTGTTTCTCAAATTTTGTCAAGACTGTTCAAATTGACATGCATGTGCTGTACATCAGACAACCAAAAGCATTGTTGTCTCGAGCAAACCCGTTCTTGTGAAGGTGAGAGGGGTGTGTGGGATGGGATGGTGCCCCTGTAGGCAAGAGGAAGGAGATTTACTTTCACAGGATAGGTTCAACATGTCTAAGCCTTGAGTTGCTTGGCCAGATCAGCGGTCTCATTCTTGAGCACGTTGCTATCCTGCTCGATGCGCAGTAAGTTGGCCTCCAAGTTTTTGGCCTGCTCCACATGGACGGCATTGTCCAGCTCGCGGCATTCTTTCTCCAGTGAGCCAATGTTTTCCACGCATTGAATCAGGTCCTCGCAACCCTACATCGCCAACGTCCAACACAAGTAACAGCAGTCAAGAAAACGGGCAAGTCAGGGGGTGCGCGCGATGGGCAACCGCTCGTACCGTGTGTAGGCTGGCAAGCAACTGATAAGCGCGCTTGATGTCAGCGTCTTTCTTGGCGTCCTGCAGCAAACGAGGCGAGGATGAGTTATGCGCGAGCATGTGTCCCAAAATGCCCAACGGGACTTGTTCGCGTGATGAAGCGGGAACTCACCTTGAAGACCATCTCATCGACAACGGTAAATTGTCGGCTCAGACGGTCTGAGATCTGATTGATCTCACGTTGCATGGCTCGAATATCCAAGATGCTCTACACCACACGTTGGTCGATCAAATGTCTCTCTCTCTCCTTGAAAGAAAAAAAAAAAAAAAAAGAAAAAGAAAAGAGAACCCGCTCCATGATTCAGTCGGGAACGTACCGTTTCAATGTCCGCCGATTGTTTGTTGATGGACTTGATAATCTCGAGAATTCGCTCGACGTACCAAGAGCGTTGTGTGGCGTTATTGCGCTTCTCGTACTCTGCTTGCAGTTCTGCCACGCGCTGTTCCTTGGCTTTGGCCCCAGCAAGAATGCCTTGCGTTGTTTCGCGCATCTCCTGCACATAGGCCATCTGAACTTTGATCTCACTCATCTGATCAGCGGCTGCCGACTACGTGGTCCCAACCATTGCATGCCGGAAATCATGAGTTTGGATGGCCCAAAGAAAGCATCACTGTGAACCCAAAAGAGCCCACCGACCTTGAGCTGTTGATACTCGCGCAATAGCTCTCGGCGATGTGGCTCCCACTTTTCGCCAATGGCGATCAGCTTTCGCGCCAGAGCGTCAATGGCTTGGCCGAGACGCTCAATATTTTCGTCCGCATTGGGCAGCAAATCCAAAACCTGTGCAGCCCAAAACACCCGCGCTCATGAGTCTCGACGATGGCGGCATCGACAAATGACGTTAATTTAGAAGAAAAGCGGGCTAGAAGGGCCGATGTACACACGCGCTTGCGGACGGCATTGTTGGCCGCCAGCTCCTCAGCCAGAGCCTTGAGCTCGGCGAGCTTGCTGTCCATCTTGACCGCATCCTTGTCAAAGGTGCTCAATTCGCCCTGCAATGACTGCATGGTTGCCATCAAATCAGACAGCCGAGTCTCCAGCTCCTCCAACTCAGCCTGGCGCTGCTGCTCCAACTCCTCTTGAGTGGCAGCCTTGGGAGCATCCGAGGCCTCGGATTGAAACTGCAGCTCCTCGCGCTTGCGGAACAGGCTCTTTTTGCCCAACTGCACGTCTGCCACAATCAATGCATCGTATAGGAGATAAGGACTAGGTTGCCCAAGCAGGCTCACCCAAGCAAACAGTCCACGTCTGGTTGCATGTCGCACACGCCGTCAGCTTATCAATGTTAAACTGATGCTCTGCACTTACTAGCAAAACCATCCAGAAAAGTTCGAATGTCTTGGCGCTGACGATGGGCCGTCATGTCGGCTGCGATGCCCTTTTGTAGCTGTGTGGCAAGGTAAGCATCAAGATGGGTGTCAATAGGGTGTGCAATCGCACAACGACTCAATGTAACAACAGCAAACGTACCTGTTGGCGCATATTTTTCAGGATGCTGTCCTGCTTGTCGTGGCGGTATTGCTGGGCAAACATACAAAGGATGAACGGATAAAGAGAGTACAAGAGCCGAGCCCCTGCCCCCTCACATCCTTTGGTACGAGCAGGCAGTACCTGTTCTGTTTTGCCCGAAGTCATGCCAAGGGTAGACCACTCCTCCTGCCAAACGGCACGACGGGCCTGCAGTGCGGCATGCTTGGCCAGCAGAGACTGCATATGTGCATGCACCAATCGCGAGTCCAAACAATTTGGTGAGCTAGTCAAAGGTGATGCGACAATTGTGCTATTTTTGAGCTACAAGCTGCAGAGACCGCACCGTGAGGCGATTGGCCGATCGCATGGGTTGAGCCGTAACGAGTGGCATATGTTCGGTTTCGTACGCAACGCGCTCTATAGCGAGTCAGGTCAAGTAAGAAAAGCAAGTGAGCATGGCTGAACGTGGCTTGAGTGACTGGAGTAGATCAAACGACGTAGTGACACCGCTGCGTAAACCGACCTTGGCTGCCATTGCTATCAGCAATCTCGAGAGTATTGGTGCGAAAAGGTCGTTGTGCTCGAGGGTTCTGGCAGTTGAGAGGTATGGTGAGCCAGTGAATGTGGGGGTTACGCATGGAGCACGCTGAAATATGCTGAATGGGCAAGGGGAGACTAGGGAGGCGAACACACCATCTGCAGCGTCGTTTTAGCATCGAGGGCGATGGCGCCATCACGGTAGATGGCGTGGGGTAGAAAGGGCAATTCGATGCGTCGGCGGACGTCGGCTGCCACGGCCGCCCGGAATCGAGCTAGTCCAGTTGTGCCTGGACATGACACCAGATGGGGAGAGAAAGGTAAGCCCATGACATGTCGCAATGCAACGCGAACCTACAGAAAGTAAGGCACATTCGGCGAGATGGGGCGGACCTGCGCTGGCTTGGGTAGCGTCGCTGACATCTTGTGGAAGTCGCTCAATCAGCCTTGAGCGGGGCCAAAGGTGAGTGACCACCATGGGTATGACACGCCTTCAAGGGGCGTCACAGAGGGATGGGACGACAGCGAGCTCATGAGCACTCACCACATGAGGATGTTGCGGCAGTCATTCTCGTTGCCGTAGAGGAAAGTGTTGTAGCCAATGGAGCTGGTATAGCCCAATGCCTGACAAGCTTTGGCAAGCGTGGTGCCCACCTGAAAGCGGGCAGCCATGGTGGATGGCAATTTCAAAGGCATCTACTCGGCCCAGCCCAGCAAGTGTGATGAGTCGAGTCGGGTTGGGAGACCAGCCGCCGAATAAAAATGCACAAGGAAGTAGGCCACTCAGACCTCATCACTCTGGTTAATGACGTTGAGGCAACGGGCACATCCCTCCACAAAGACATCCGTGCCCAGGTCTGCAGTACCAAGCGCGGCAATGCGTGTGAGATGGTCGAACACCTGCTGATCCCGAGGCATCGGTGATAACCTCGATGCTTGGCATGGCAAGGGCGGGCGCAAGTTTTTCCACCAACACACCCGACACGGTTTGAACGGTCTCGGGTATCTCCGTGCCCAGATGCTTCAAGTTGAGCAGGATGATCCGATCGACTTCTTCCATCGCGACGGTGGCACCAGAGGCGAGCAACAGCTGTTCACGGCGCTGTCAGTGAAAGTCAAAAAAATAGAAAAAAACTGGAGACGAAAGATTATGAATCTCACTGTTTTCGCTCTTTGTAGATTTCTGGTAGGAAGACACCGACGCTCGGCTTTGTCGACATGGGTGTGTTCATCTTATCGATGGTGGCTGCTGGGATGCGACCACACTGCTGTTGCTTTAAGCAGGCATACTGCAAACTTCGGGCTCTAAGCAGTAGAGCCAGGGTGGATGGACAGCATCAACAGGTTTTTTAAAAAAAGTGATATAAATTTTTACCCCTTCAGGTCCCAGGCGCTTTAGAGCTCATCATGTTTGAGCAGGCCGCGGAAGTAATCGGCAACAAATTGGTATGCAGCTTGGCTGGACAAATCAGCGGTCTTGTCGTACACAAATTTGAGCTGCTGTGCCGTGTCGTGAATGACCAGCACGGGCAAATCTTTGCGCTGGACCCCAAAGAACTTCATGGCATCACCCGTTTTTCGGTAGTCTAGAAGACGAGCAAGACACAAGTGATGGATTCCAGTGCCAGTCTGTGAGGTAACTCGCATGGGCTTGCACCGAGTGGATAGACTTGGGCACATACCCGCTACAACCGGCAAGATGCTGTCGTCGAAAGGTCGGATGCCCTCCAAGAGAAGCTTGAAGAAGAGCGTAGGAACAAGCAAGAACCAGGATGAGATAAGTTGAACATTCTGCTGTAGCAAAATGGTGGAAAGCCTTATGCTGTGAAGATAATTCTTTCAACAGCAAAAACAACATCGACTCCCCGAAAAAAGAAGAGAAGTGAAAAGCAAAGAAGACAACAAGACGAGAGAAAAAGAAAAGGCAAAGCAAAACATTCTCAACTCTATCGGAGAGACACACCTCGGGCACAGGCTGCTGACGGGGTGCCGTGGGATCATAGAAAATCAGCACCTTGGGCTGCTGAGCCCGAAAGAGCTGGCTCTTGGAGGCTTCATTGCTCAGATCGAGCGTGATGCCACCCAATATTTGGCGCTGACCAATGCGGACAATCGCGGCAACCAAAGAAACGACAAAGGCCCCAAAGGTGGGGGTGAGTTGGTCCCGATGAAAGATGGGGGTGGGTAGTCGAACGAAGTAGCAACCTCGCGTGTAGCATTGCAAGCACATACCCCGGGCATTGTCCAGTTAATTTCAAACGAGCCAGGGGATGGGATCGACTTTGGCAACCTGGCAAGGACCAGGACAGAACAAACGACCGGCAAACGTCGTGCTGCTGGTAAGGAATAGACGAGTAGCGCCAGCCCACCGACTTGCTAGCTGGCCAGCCAGCAGCAGCAGCAAAGCAGCAGCAACAACAACAACAATGGAACAACGAAGAAAAGGCTTTTGTTACTGACCGAACAAGCATGAATTCAGCACCGGGAAGCTCGATCTGCACGTTTTGATGATCCCCTGCCACCCATTCGAGGGCTGTAAAATCCGATTCCTAGTCAAGGTACCGTTTGAAGCAGAGTTGTAGACGTTAATGAGACCACACGTTAGGGTTAAAAGGCCCACCAAGCGCACTCGTGTGACCTCCTGGGTGGTTGCAAGGACGACGGCTGGGTGTCAGCACGGGCGGCGTACTTGAGTGTCAGAGCGCGGTTGGCTTGTTTTGAGGCCTCCACTACTTTCCACCAGCTTGTTGACCACAGAGGCAGGCGGTTCGATGCAGTTGGGCGGGGCTGGGCGGTAGGCCCACCAGTTGACCAAGAATGTGACACGGGTGGTACTCTGGTCTTGAAGTTGTGCTACGAATACACGGGTGCAGGCAGATGCAACGGCATCAGGGCGTGTGGCCTGCTCCATGAGTATCACATGTGGCAGATCGCACCAGCAACATTGGCTGCATGCTCAGCACCAAGCGTGCCGGCGACACCATGCATCAGGTTGCCCTGGAAGAAAATGTGCTTGTTGCGCTCTGGATAGACGAGCGCGCCGCGTACTGGAACGCGCGGTTCATCGTCATTGCCGTCGATGGATGTCTAATGTCATAAGAAAAAAATAATACAACGTGAGGTCGATTCGTTTTGCGCGCTTGATCGCTCCGTGGGTACTCAAGCCAGCCATTCTGCCGGCATTTACCCCGGTGTCGGACGCCGTACTCTTTCACGTCCACATCGACATGAACATACCTGGTTAAAGATGAGAGTGGGAGCTCCAATGTTGGTCAGGTAAGACACGGTTGAGATGGCAGGCAGCACAAGCCGCATCTCTTCCGAGGCCGTGGCTTCGTCCTTATCGTAGTGAAAGCCAATATTATCCGTTTTCTCGCGAACCTGATACCACCTGAGACATTAGACACTCAAAAGTGAGAGGCCGAGTATCAAGTAGGCAGGCGCGTGTTGTCTGACACAAGGACATCAGCAGAAGACGGGCAGTCTCACCATTCAGCACCAATGATGCCCTGTTCGGCAAAAGAATTGCCAGGAAAATCAAGCTCTCTAGGTGGCAGATTGTCGTGTGAGAAAAGGTAAAATGCGCGTTTTGCAGCCGAGGTCCAACGAGGTATAGAAGTAAGCTGGCTGAAGATCTTACTTGAGAATGTGCACGGCGGCTTCGGCGGCAAAACGTGGTGCATGTGTGCTCTTGCTAGTCAAGGGGTACCACCATGTTCCTCGCTGGACCACAGAATTGACGGCAGCGAAACGGGGTGAGGTCTGACGGCGAACACGCAAGCAGATTTCTTCCCATCCCATGCCACACTGTGATTGGCGGGCACGTTGACAAACCTTGCCAAACTTAAAGTTATCACTCGGCATCTGGTCCAACAAAAGCCCATCCCGTCTATCAAGTGGATGCAGAACGAGTCCACGGCCCAGCCCCAATGAGAAAAACAACCGGAAAGTCAGTGCGCCCCGGAAACCAAGCAAGCGCAAAGTGATTTCGACGTACTTGAGAGCCTCAAGAAGATCATCAGGGTAGACTGAGGTCCAGCTTCGATACAGCGGATACTGGTACTCGACTGCAGGTGCCCGCCCGGCGAAAGGTGGGGGCACGGGGAGCGGCAGTCGCCGCATGTGAGTCTGGCTTGCTGAACAGAGTGTGCACCCGCTCCGTACATTGCGAAGCTTACCGTTGTTAGTACGCGGCCCGCCGCTCACAAAGGTTGCGCTCGTCATCATGGCGCCCATGATGAGAAGCGCAGCCAGACAGAACACACTAGACGACGCCATGGCTCGGGACGTGTCAGGCCAGCAGCCAAACAAATCTGCCCTCTGCCTGCCAGAGGACGAATCCAAGATGCGAGCAAACAGGCAGGTGGCCAGGATAAGCCTCATATTTCACGATAAGGGATCGCAATCCCAGCGTTGTAGCATTCACCCTGTACGTAGCCGCGAGCATCGCGGTAACAATCAAGCCACGACCACCCACCTGGTTCTTGGTTGTGCAGTGCAGTCCAATGATGATGATGATGATGATGATGATGATATGATTGCCGTGAAATGAGCTGAATAGCACCACACAACACAGCACAGCACAGCACAGCACCGCACAGTACCACACGGTACCACACTGCACAGCACCACACAGCACCGCACCACACAGCACCGCACCACACAGCACCGCACCACACTGCACAGCACCGCACCGCACCGCACAGCACAGTCGCTCAAACCCTCAAAAGGAAAACGTCCTGACGAAAGCGAATGACCAGCGTAAGCGATAATGTGTAAATATCCACACTATCGCACAGCGCCCCTTTATGTGTGTGTGTGTGTGTGTGTGTGTGTGTGTGTGTGTGTGTGTGTGTGTGTGTGTGTGTGTGTGTGTGTGTGTGTGTGTGTTTTGTCTTTTTGCAA